ATGTGTCACAAGGTTACTGTTCTGTTTCTTTTTCTTGTTTTTAATTTCAAGGGATGGATGGGCTAGGTGGAGTTAACAATAACAATGCTACCCAGAAATGGGAGGGAGGGCATCGGAATTTTTTTTAATGTACAGAAATAAGCTTAGAAGAAAGCACAAACAAGTATAATGGCTTTAAAAATAGCATGTGGGATTTGTTATACATATGCATATGGACATATATGTAGATATGTGCACATATATATATATATATATATATATATATGTATACACACACACACACACAAGCATATTTAAAAGCAAGCAGTATGAAATGGAGATTTGATTTTAATACTCAATTCTTTTTGCTTTGCTGTGTAAATTCAAATGCCTTCTTTTGGGTATTTAAGTCCACAGTTAAAACAAAAATTTCTATAGTTGTGGTGTGATCTTTAATATTCAGATCATGTATCCAATTTGAACTTACTGTTGTAAATAGTAGAAGCTGTGGAGCTAAGATTTCTAAGCCTAATTCTGCCAAACTTGAAGAGGGTCCTTCCCCACCGTAATTTTTATTGGGATTTATCAAACACTGCTAGTTATTAAATAGGTCCTCCTATAATGCTCCATTGGACTGTACCCAGAGCAGTGCTGCAACTCTTCACCACTGCCCTCCAGAGGAAATAGAACTCCTCCAACCCTGGCGATCTGACAGGACAGAGAATACCCATCAGGGACCTTCAAGAAGAGGCTGACGCAAAAGGATTGATGGTACATACATTTTCAGCAAGGATACCACTGAAAAATTAGCAGTAACTATGACAGAAAAAGCTGGAGGCCACAAACATTGAAATTTAAAAAAAAAAGGAAAATGAAGATACCACAATAAATTCCGTAAGATTTCCTGAAAATACAATAAACTCCACATTAATTCAGATAATTAATGAAATGATCAAGTGAAAATACAAACAAAAATGAAAAAAAAAAAGGTTTTAGCAATCCTTAATGTATCACTTTTGCATTGCAGATTCCCAGCCCTCTTTCTTTTGCCCTCCCAGTTATCATTTCAATTATTTTGTGACGGTTGTTCTTTCCATCTGAATTGTTGTATAGGCATTGTGTACACCATGTTCCTAGCTCTGCTTATTCATTTTGAATCAGTTTATGTGGATCTTTTTCATGTTTCTCTGTATTCATAATGTTCATTTTTCCCCTTAAATCATAGTTATATCCATTATTCATGTACCACAATTTGTTCAGCTTTTCCCAATTAATGGACATTCACTTTGTTTTTAATGCTTCATTTTCACAAAACGTAAGTGCTGCTATGAATTTCTTGGTGTATATGAACCTTACTTTTTGTCAATGACTCCCTGTGGTATATATGCCTACTAGTAGAATCTACAGGGTCAAAAGTTATGGGTATTTTAGTCACTTTATTTGTATCATTCCAAGTTGCTTTCCAAAATACTGAAGTCATTGGCTCTATAGGCATCCTGAAGCGAAAGACCCATGTGGAGAGTCCCAAGAAAAGATCAGCTCTTTCCTCAGTTTCCCTCCTGGTGTCTGTCTATCCAGAGCCATAGCAATATAATCTGCTGCCATCACCCCAATGTTTCCAATGAAAGGAATTTGCCTCAAACACAAAACAGTTCAAATTTAATACAGATAAATATAAATGTAAAATTAGGCAGGAAGCCCAACCTCTACCTAAATATTAGGCATTTTCCTAACTGGGTGCTGGCAATTGTAACTTAAGTCTTAACTTTCTGTCTAAAGTAAACTTCCAAAAGCTAAAGGAGAAAGAGATCCAGAGGGACCATTATACTGTCCTTAGGCTTAAACAAGTTAGTTATTATATAATGGTTTTACAAATTGGCATTATTGCATCTGTCATTTCAGAGAACACATCTTTTGTCATCTTTGCCAATTTGCTGGGTGTGAGGAGGAATTTCAGGGTTATTTTGATTTTCATTTCTTTTATTATTAGTTTTGGAGCATTTTTTTTTCATGTTTCTCAATTTTGCAATTCTTTCAAGAATTGTTTGTTCGTATCTTCAGGATCACTGGCTTTTGGTCTTTTATATTTATTAGTTCTCTATATGTCTTTGCTATCAAGATCCCTTCTCAGAGATATCTAATACAAAATTAGGGGGTTGGGGGGGCAGTTTCAGGTTCTTTTTGCCAGTCAGCTGCTTCCATCACCTAAATGCATTAATTTGGTATGTGAAAAAGCTTTTTCAAAGAAATTTTTAAGAATGTTTTTATTTTTTTCTCAATTACATGTAAAAACAATTTTAACACTCATTTTTCTTATAATTTTTAAGTTCCAAATTCCCTCTCCTTTTATTCCCTCCCTTTGAGAAGGCAAAGCACTTTGATATAGATTAAAAACATATGAGTCATGCAAAATATAGTTCCATATTTAGCCATGTTACAAAAGAGAACAGACTAGAAAAAAAAAAGTATGCTTCCATCTGCATTCAGACTCCATCAATTCTGTTTCTCTGGAGGTGGAGAGTATTTTTCATCCTAAGTCCTTCAGAACTGTCTTGGATCATTATACTGCTGGGAATAGATAGGCCATTCACATTTGATCATCATACAATATTGCTGTTACTGTGTACAATGATCTCCTGGCTTTGTTCAGTTCATGTATATCTTTCCAGGTTTTTCTGAAATGCTCCTGCTTGTCATTTCTTACAGTACAACAGTATTCCATCACAATCATTTACCACAACTTGTTCAGCCATTCACCTATTGATGGCATCCCTTCAATTTCCAATTCTTTGCCAACACAAAAAGAGAAGCTATAAATATTTTTGTACATATAGGACCTTTTCCTTTATCTTTGATCTCTTTGGGACACAGACCTACTAGCGGTATTACTGGGGTCAAAGGGTTTGATAGCTTGATAGCCCTTTGGGCATTGTTCCAAATTGCTTTCCAAAATGGTTAGATCAGTTCACGACACCACCACGAGTGCTTTAGTGTCCCAATTTTTTCCATATTCCCTCAATACTTGTTATTTTCCTTTTCTATTATATTAGTCAATCTGATAGGTATGAGGTGGCAACTCAGTGTTGCTTTAATTTGCATTTCTCCAATCAATGGTGGATTATAGCATTATTTCATATGACTACAAGAAATCAGAGTTTTTAAGAAAGAAATCTCAAGTCTCACCTTCCAGTGATAGAATATAAAAGACCCACACTTCACATCAGTAGATTAGATAATCTTTACTTAGATGGTAAGGAAAATGACAGAATTATAAATCAAAAATGCAGGGACAGAAGAAAAATAAGAGAGGAGATAGGAATAAAACCTTTTATAAGAGATTCCCAGTTGAGAAAACTTCTACCAGTGCAAGTTAGCACCTTCTCTGCAACTAAGGGTCACAGAGTTTTGCCTAGAGCAAAGAGAGATTAAATGAATTGCCCACAGTTACAGAGTCTGCATATATCAGACAAGAACTAAACCCAGATTTGGATTTAAGAATAGTTCCTTATTACCTAGGCTACAATGTCTCTCAGGAAAATAAAATAAAATCATGGGACAAAATTTTAAAAATGAGATTTAAAGGTCACTACAAAACATGAATACTTAACTTGATGATATAATGTGAAGCAATAATGTAAGTATCACAAGTCTTCTAGAAAAGTAATGAAAAAGAAAATATGAACAGCATACTACAAAAATTCAAAGTTTGCCAGATAACACTGGAAACAGATGGCAAAGTTCATATTAAGAGAATCTGTAGAACACAAACAAAAAGAAACTCTCAATTTAAATCATCATGAAACAGCCAAGGGTTTAACTCTGAAAGCCAGGTGCCTAAAACCAAAGCAGCCTCTTGTATTATAGGATGACATCAAGCCAGTGTAGGAACTAAGGAAGTTGGGACAGCAAGAGAGATGCTGCAGGAGTGCCCCAGAGCCATCAGTCCTATTCATCCTGGAGATGTCCTTGCAAATGTCTTTGGAAGAAGTCCTGGTTTTGATCTCTGAATAAAAAATGCTTACTTTCACTTTCAAGTGACAGTTCTCAAAATATTTGAATTTCATCTTTCCCCACTTTTCTCATGTATTTCTAAGCTAACCATTCCTAGTTCTCTCCAACACTCCTCAAGAAGTAGTTTCCAGTAGCCTTACATAATTTCCTCCAATCTCCATAAAGTATGTAAAGTAAGGTATGTACTAAACATAATATTGCTGATGTAGTCTGACCAGCACCAAGTACAGTATGACTTTTACTGATATCAACTGGAAAGTGTTAATGCAATTGAAAGCTGCTTTGGACTTTTAAAAAAAAGCAGCCACATCACAGGCAGCTAAAATCTTCAATTCATCCTCTATGTGAGCTTCTGCCAAGCACGGTTTCCCTATCATGTTCTCAAGTTACTTGATTTTAAAAACTTGATTACAGAACTTTATGTGCTCATCATTCTTTAATTTCATTTCATTGGATTTAGTTCAGTGTCTACCAAGCTCTTGTTAAATCCTGAATCTGTTGTTTATCATACAGTCTATCTTCAGTTTTGTCACCAATCAGCATGTTTTCTATACTTTCATTTAAATTAAGAAAAATGTACAAGGTAAGGCTTGCAAACACTTTTAAAAAATATTTCTAAAATATTATCTCTTCTAGAATGTATTCTTAACCACAAAAATTCGATTATATTCCATGTTTCACATTTGTATCATGTCATTTTGATCAATTTTTAAAATGCAAATTAACTATTAAATAGCTAAATAATACAAACTTGAATCTTTAAGGATCTATTTTAATCTCTGCTCCTTTTTAAAAGTCTAGATTGGCAATGGTACACTTGTTTCCATTATCCACTCTACTTCTAAAAAATGCCTTAAATTTTTTTAGGCAATTTAAACATCAATTCTTACCTGTTACCATAGAGTTCTAATTCTTCATCAAGGAAAAAATACAAGACATTGGTTCAGTGATTAGTCCTAGCTTGCAAACGATCACACAGCCATGATAAATGATGATATGCCAGACAACGATTAGAGGATTGGATGCTGATTCTATTTGGTTTATTTCTTACTGGAGTATAGCATCAGAGATGTAAAAGTCCTTAAAGGTTAGATGGTTCAACCCCATCATTTTATTGATAAGAAAGTCAAGGTTCAAAGAGATTAAGTAACTTGACCAACATCCCACAGATAGGAAATGGCAGAGCCAAGATTCAAGGCTAAATCCTCCTGCAAGAATTGTAGGCTAATAAAATCAAGGAACACAAAACAGTTCACATCTAAACCCAATATCATGTAACAATTTATTAATAGCAGAAATTACCATTATTCTAGTTTTTTTAACACCATAATTATAGCCTTCCATTAGACTAGATGACAAATACTTCACACAGGTACTAATACTGAAAACAAGAAGATGATTAATATGAATTTATTTGACCCACAGTGCTAACAACATGAATTGCATATGAAAAATATCAATATTAGGACATGCTGGGAATGGCTACTAATTTAAAGACTTTAGAACATCATGGCTTCTAATCCTTCTTCCATAAACTTCTTATAAATCGCCATGAACTTTGCCACAAATGCTTCAAGGTGGTAAATGGCTTTGCTACCAAGTTGAAGACGATGTTCATAGTAAGCTGCCATCTGTGCAACCTCACCTTTCAGTTGTCCATCACAATTATTTAAAAGTTCTGAGAGAAGGCCCTAAAGAGAAATAACTAGTAATTAAGAAGCAATTAAAATTAAAACACCAATTTCCCTTCAAGGTCTATAAATTTCTCCCTTTTAACCAGTTTACATGTATAACTTCTACTGATACAATATACACACAACTAGGATACATAATTATAAGTCCAAGTGAGAGAGACTCAGTAGCACTGAAATTTTCAAATAATATATAATTAACTTAAAAGTTTCTATACACATTGTACAAGCATCATCTTCACCTCCTGTTGTATTTGCTGGAATCGTTGAATTGGTCTTCCTCTCCCACTCTAATTAGCCCTTCACATAGATGACGTACTGATTTTTTTAATATGCAGAGGTGACCATGAAACTCCTTTATTCAATAAAATTTCACTGGCCACCACTGCCTTTAGGATAAATATAAAGTATTTCACAACCTGGCCCAAACTTATCTTTACAGTCTTCTTATAACCTTATTCCTCCCCAAAGAGCCCTTCTCTATGTCCTTCACAAACAGCATTCTACCTCCTGCCTCTTGAGTCTCTGCACTGGCTACACTCCAAGCTTGGAATACTCTGCACCTTCTTGCCCCCATCTCAGATACTTCCTTCAAGAAACAACTTAAGCAAATTTCTACATAAAGCCCTTCCTGATCTCAACTGCTAAAGCCCTCAACTATCTTGTATTTATTCTGTATTTCCTTATATAATGTGCATGTCTTCCCCGATAGACTATAAGCTCCTCAAGAGCAAAGCTAGCTTCATTTGTTTGTCTTTATATCCCTCAAGTCTAACACAATGCCTGATACAAAATAAGTGCTTAATAAATGCTTATTGATTAGTCAAAGAAAACTAGCAAATATCACATATAAAAATTTTGGTTAATTAACATATAATCTCCTATAAATACATCATACCCTAAGAGAACTGTTCTCTAAGTTATGCAAACAGGCAAAAGATCTTTGTCCAATGGTAAGAAACAATTACTGCGGAATCAGAGGACCTGGATTCAAATACCATCTCTGATTCTAACTTTGGGCAAGTCATTTACCCTTCCAAGGCCTCAAGTTCCTAATCTGTAAAATAAGGGGGGGGGGGAGGTTTACCAGAGGGCTCCTGAAATTTCTTCTGCTTCTAAATCTATAATGCTATGGGGTGAAGGGAATTCCTGGCATGGGAACTCTAAAATGAAATAGATAGAAATCTACATATGACTTAGTAGCAAGGTTCTAAAAACAAAAAACCCCTAAACATGTATATTATATATAAAAGTTTGCAAAACATTTTATACATCTTATCTGATGTTCCTAACAGTAGTGGTACTATCATTACCCCTCATCTTATAGATGAAGAAAGTGAGGCCTGGGGAGGATAAATTAATTATCTAGGGTCACTCAGCTAGTATTAAAGGAAAGACTTGCACTGAAGTCTCCCTGACTCCAAGTCTATCCACTGTATCATGCTGAGTCTTCTATAACTTACAACTTTAAAAAACTTTACACTATTCCAAACTATGCTCTAAATAAAAGAATTAATAAAAGGCACAAAAATAAATGTATTTTAAAGTAACACACATTCCCAGCAGGAGAAAAACTTAACCAAGGCAAAGCCTAGTAGAAAGAAATGCTAGGTCACAGGATCATGGGATTTAGAGCTAGGAGGTACTTTTGAGATTATCTCATCTAATCTCCTCATTTTAGAGATAAGGAAGAAAAATATAAAGTGTGACACAAAGTCATACAAGTAGTAAGTAGCAGAGCTGGGATTTGAACCCAGGTCTTCTGACTGCTAATTTTATCCTTCAAAAAGTTGTCACGGGAGGGAAATTCTATTCTCATTAACAGGAATAAACCAGTTGCTAGGATAAAAATGATGGCAACCTTAAAGAGAAGTGACTACTCTTTGTGAGAGTGGACAGGAAATCTGAGCATAATCTAATATCTTTCCTAGATTTTTAAAAGTAGATTTCAAAGAGTTCAGGGGAAAGTTAGGCAGAAGTCCATGGATTAAAATGCTTCAATGGAAGAGAGACATAAGAAATTCAAGATAGAAATTTTAAATTCAGAAAGGGAAACAATTCCATTAAAAAGGAAAAATTGGATTTGTCTAAAGAAACTAAATCATAGGCACAAAGAACTCACCAACCAATTTAGATTTTAAGATGAAATTTTTTAAAAAAAGTAAGACAGGCCCTGCCCTCAATAATCTTACATTATAATGGGGGAGGGGAGGTGGCCAAGGAATGATGTTTTAGAAGTAATATGAATGGGATTCAGAAGGTTCTTGGCAAGTTGAATGGTTCCCTATAGAGGATTTATAAGGACACATCAATAAAAGGAATATGAGATAAGAAGGTTTGGATGAATTGCAATCTGTACCAAAGGATGGAAATCATCAGACCAAAGAAGTCTGAAAGACGCAGGGCCTATAATATGTTATTTTTTATTTATAAAATAACATATTGACTCATAGTGAAGTTCGTGATTTCTTTTATTTTGTTATTTTTCAGAGTATGATGAAGTTTAAATAAGTAAAAAACAGAACCAAGGAACTATATATACGAAAGACATAGTAGGTTTGGTTGAAAAGAACAGTCGCTTAAGGGAGAAGGAAATCTTGGCATCTCTCAACCCCCAGCCCTCTTCTCCCTCAACTCTAGTTTCCTCCCCTTTCTTCTTATTTTATTTTTCTCTCAGAATCTTCCCTTTTGTTGTTTTCTTCCTACTTTAAGAATCATAATGTGTAAGGGCAGCTAGGCAGTGCAGTGGATAGAGCACCGTCCCTGGAGTCTGGGGGACCTGAGTTCAAATCCGGCCTCAGATAGATAACACTTACTAGCTGTGTAACCCTGGACAAGTCACTTAACTCCATTGCCTAGCCAAAAAAAAAAACCATAATGTGGAACTGAAATATACTTTTATGATTCTTTTTATTTAATGAATGAAGTATTATGGTATGGTTCTTAATTTTAAAAACAAGTAAAACATTTTATACTTCTTTTTCTTAAAGGGCAAAAATTTTTATTCTTTATATGTGATACTCAAAATTTTTTGAGTCAGCAGACTTCAACAGAAAAAAATTCCCTTATCCCTGATGTAAGGTAAAAATGAACCTACTAAAAATCCAATTGTTTAAAATTAACAACTGAAAATAGTGATGGGAAATAAAGCAAACAGATGCACTCAACTTTTTCCTCACCTCTAATTTTCTATATTATTAAGAGTAAAAGATAAGAAATCAGATTACCTTCATTATTATTTCAGGAGGAATACAATGAGTTAGTAGCTCATAAAGTCGTCCACGAATTTCAAGTAGCCTGTTTAAAATAAAAAAGATGGAAAATTAATTTTAAAAGAATTATGTCTGAGATTCAGGGATGAATAATGAAACAGACAAAGTTTCTTTCCTGGGAAGCAGCTGACTGGGAAAAAAAAACTATTATCAAATATCTTTGATAAGGGTTCCAAGATATAGCAACAACTAACAGAAGTACATAAGAATAAAAGCTATTAAAAGAATGTTGCAGACCACTAATAATAAGAAAATGTAAATCACAATAACCACAAACTGAGAATAATCAAGGGTAGAGGAGTTACAGGCAAGAAAACTGATGTATTGCTGGTGGAGCTGTGCATTGGTACAATCATTCTGGAAAACAATTTGGAACTCTGCAAATTAAGTGACTAAAAAGTCTATACCCTTTGGCCCAGAGATTTCACTGTTTGGTATATGCCCCAAAGGGATGACTGACAAAATAAGGCTCAATATAAACAAAAATATTTATAGGCGCATTTCTTTGTGGTAGCAAAGAACTGAAAACAAAGTTTTAAGCATGGCTAAACAAACTGGTACAGAAATGTAATGGAACATCACTATATTATAAGAAATGATGAGTATGATGAATACGGAGAAGCACAAAAAAGACTTAGATGAACTGGTGCAAAATAAAGTAAGCGGAGTCAGGAAAACAAAATTCACAATGACTAAAAACATATAAACAGAAAGAACCATAAACCAATTGAAACTAAAAACTGTGAAATTGCAGAAAACAAACCTGGCCTCAAACAAGAGGCAAGAGAAGAGAAATTCCATTTGCAGAGGTATGTGCTTATAGGGGATGGGAAATTGGGGGGGAGGGGTGGATGAAGAGGGGACAGCATGGTCAGTCCATGAATGCATTGCATAGAACATCCGATTTTTTTTTGATGTGTTGTTTGGTTTTACTGATTTTCTTTCTCTTTTTAAAAAAATCTGTTATGAGGGATGATTCTCCAGAGGGAGAAGAGGAAAGAGGATATAAAGGAAAAAATTTTAAAAATAAAGCTCTCTTCCATATCACCTACAGCAAAAAAAAATTTGGATTTTTAATTTTTTTTTCCACTGTGACTTTAATTTAACCAAACATGCTATAATCCCCAGATCTTTTACTATAATAGTACAGGTTTACAAGCTATTTGCGACAATAATTTAAATGAACTTTTACCCACTGATTTCCATTAAAAATTCAAGGATAAATTCTCTTTCCTCAACACTGCCCCCTCACCCATGGCTATAGGTCTCTTCAACACCAGTTTTGAATTATATTTCAGAATATAACAAAATTTCCTGTTACAGTAAACAGAATTGAAGATGCCACTCCAACATGATCCCTCTGCTGTCAAAATATACCAATGGGCAATGGGAAAACAAACTAATGCACTTTTGATGTGGCTTTGAATTGGTCTAGTAATTCTGGAAAGCAATTGGGAACTATGCCCCTAAAAGTCACTGAACTATTCACTAACACTGCTAGACTTATACCCCAGAGAGATAAAAGAACCTAAATGATAAAAATATTTATAACAGCTCTATTTATTATCACAAAGAATGGGAAGCTAAGGATATCCCCACTAATTGGAGAACGGCTGAATAAATTATGGTATATGAACGTAATGAAATATCGTGCTATGAGAAATGATGAGAGGGCTACATGTGGTGGCACATAACTATAACCCCTGCTACTGGTTGGGAAGCTGAGGTTTGCTTAAGCTCTGGAGTTCTGAGCTACAGTAAGGTTAAGGCTCACTGGGTGTCCACACTAAGTCTGGAAGGAATATGTTAAGCCTCAGGACCAAAGTGCCATCAGTCTGCTTAAGGAAAAGTGAAGTAGCTCAGGTTGGAAACAAAGAAGGTCAAAAGTTCTGTGCTGATCACTAGTGGTAATCAGGCCCAGGAGTTGCCACTGTAATTCCAGGCTGAGAGACCTAGTAGAAAGGAAGCAACCAAGCAAGCTGAAATGATGAAAGGGACAGTTTCAAAGACACCCAAGAATACCTGGATAAACTGATGCAAAGTGAAGATAAGAGAATCAGTATAATTTATATAATAACAATACTGATCAATGCACTGACCATCTATGATTTCAGGACCAATGATGAAACATACTATCTACTCCTTCCTGAGAAAGGTGATGAAACTCAAGTTGCTGGATGACATATATATTTTTGGACACAATCAATATGGGCTGTGATTTGCTTGAGTATGCATATGTGTAGAAAAGGTACTTTTTTTCCTCAATAAAGAAGAGGGAGATAAGAAATAATAATAGGGTTGCAAAAAAAAAAGGGAAAGCAAAGAAAAAGAAAGCATGGGGTGGGGGGTGGGGAATTGTCACTGAAACACATTTTTCAAATGCACAGAAGAAAATGGAAGGAATCACAGACAAGCAAGGTAGATCTGAAAGCAATATGGTGAATTTATTAGATAATTTTAAAAGAAAAGCATTGTATACAACAGAAAAAGTCTCCAATGAATAATTAGAGCAAAGAATGTCTTAACATGTTTCTAAGACTAGCACTTCACAAATTAAGAAATCCTGCCACAGTATTACAATGCACAACCAAGACTCTCCTACTTGAAAGTTATGAACTTGCATAGTACCAGTATCGGTAACCGCTGGGGTGGCTGATTTGAATTAGAATTAAAACAAGATTATGCCACAAGATAGAAAAAAAGTATGATTATTGGTATTAAAATATCACTTAACAGTGCTGAAGTCATTACTTCAATTATTTTAATCTGAAAAGCTGGTTCATAATCAGCCACCTAACTCTGATACACACTTGTCCTGGTAATTTTTAAATAATGAAAACTCATCTTGCATTTTGTATATTAGAAAGAAATTCTAGTTTTCAGGATGGTATATTAAACTAGAATCAAGGCCATAAATGCTACAGAAAAAAACCAAAGACTCAAATTGGTAGCAGCAGTTCATCACTCTTTTTTTTTCTATTAGTCTAATAGAAAATGAAATTGGCACCATTTGTACAAATGATCAGCCAGAATTGTCTTCTATTCTTTTCACTGTACAACTAAGAATGTTTTTTATGTAGCACAATGGAAATAACAACTACATCATTAGCTTCAGGAAGAAGCATGCTTTTAGTTGCCAAGACCTCTTAAGAAAATTACTAGAAAAGATGCCAGCAGTCAGAATAGTTATATAAAACAGTAATAAACTGATGGTAACAAAATGTGACTATGAGACAAGTCTATCAAGTAAAGGCAACATCTCTGTCAATATCCCTTAACAAAATTTCTCATGAGTCAACTAATTATCTAAAACTAACCTTTTTATTTAAAAAGTTAATTAATAAAATTTTAATTTATTTGAAAATTATATAAAGATTTATTTTATGTAAAAATTATATTAAAATTTAATTTATTTTAATTAATTAAAAACTTTCTTTTAAAAATAAAATAAAAAATACAAATACTCTGAAAAGACCTCATCAGCTTTGTGAGGAAATGTTTGACAAGCAATTTTTCTGTGAAACTGAGATTACTGAACAGAATGTCATTTTCCAAAATGGTGTGCAAGCCCTATAATCAAAAAACTTCCTTTTAAAGAAGCCATTCCCTAAACAGATAGCATGATGGTGTGAACAATACTGATTAGGAGTCTAAAGACCAGGGTCAAAATCCTGGCTATGCCACTAACTTGTGGCTCTCAACAAATCATTCAATCTGTCAGGCCTTCAATTTAAAAGTCCCCTTTAGCTCTAACATTCTATCATTCTAAAGATGTACATTACTGGATAGAAATTAAAATATTAACTAAAAGCTTTAAAAATTCAAGCTTTATCTAAATAAATACAAAATACTATGTTTAATTATAATTATCACCTAATTTAGAGGAAGGCCAGTGTCCACTCACAGCATGTTTTGTCATTTCTTTGAGGATGTCCTTCACATGGGACACCAGAGAAAGTGGTTCACCAACTTCACTGACAGGAGTGGAAGGAAGGGTGTTTTAAAAGAAAAAAAACTCTTTTAACCAATATTGCTCTTGTCTAACTTAAAATCAATGACCTTCAAAGCTGAGGAATTTCTTTAGGGAAAACTATTTTTGTTGGGCTTAAAGAGTTGACTTAAAAAAACAAGTTTGTGTAGCCGGCAAAAGAGAGCTCTTTGAACCCTTATTATATATTATAGCTACGTTCTTCGAACTACTAGAAGGCAGGGAAAACGAAAATATATTATGCAGAAATATTAGGTCAGCTATTTGATGGATGTGAGAAATACAAAAGAATTTCAAGTGACTTCCAGTAGTGGTTATAATTTATACATAGATTCAGTAAAATCACACATCAAGAGTTTAATAAAAGGGGTATGAGAGTGTTTATTATCTACTTCTAGCCAACTCTTCTGAATTACTAGATTTCTGCAAGTTAATTTAACCAATTTTTTCAAGGTTTTAAATATAGATTTAGGACCAAATTTTAATTTTAAACTATATTAAAACTGTATAAGACCACAAAATATTCTGAAATCCTAACTACTCTAAATGATAAGGTTTTGCTATCTAACACATTACTTTTAAAATACTTAAGTTATATTGCCTACCTTTGGGGAGTCTGCTGACTGACAATAGCATTTGCAGTCTCTCTCAGATATACTTCCCAATCTGTCTCAGGGATATCTTGATCTGAAGTAAAAGGATACCTGTATGACCAAAAAGATCACATTGTATTTTGGAAACCAACATAAAGATATATGTGTTTTTACTGCAAATAGTTAGTTCTGTTAACTTTTTAGACCTACTGTTGCACCCTGCAGGCTTCACACATAAGCAGGGCTTTCCTGAGATTTCTACAGGATTTCTCCGCAAGCCTATGAGCCAGCTCTGAAGGAAGATTCAGACCTTCTTTTTTGCACACAGTGGACAATACATGGCAAATCTACGAAGAAAACAGTTAATAAAACTATAGCCAAAAAAAAATCCCTTTTCTTAGTACAACACCCACTGAAACATCTTTTACAACCCCTTTTAATGATGAAATTCATGAATTTGGGGATTTTTTTGTTTTGTTTTTTACTTGAGAAATCTTTAAGAAAAATTAAACTTACCTCATTCCAATTAATATTAAAGGTCTGCACTATTTCTGCTTTACAGAAAAATTCTCAAAGGTAAGGGAATGGCTGATATTATAAATGGTTTTACTGATAATGGGAGAAACTGTATGGTAATTATACAGAGTAATACTGGGGAGAACCCAAGAGAACTTTATTTTAGATTCCCTTTTCTACAGACAATTAGAAACTGAAACTTCTTCTGCATTCCAAGTACATTTCTTTGTACTGTCTACCTGCTCCACAGATAGTTTTAATTGACTTCAGAAGATAAACACTAAATTACTGAAGCTCAGTATCTAAATTTATTATCCATTACAGCTTATACTACCTAAGTAGCATAAATAGGATTAATACATAAGTTAGAAGAACACAGTGTTTACACCATGCAATGGCTTTGGAGTGAGAGGGTATTCCAAGGTAAAGTAAAGGTAGAAAAAAAGGTGGCAAGCATTCAGATTTTAACAAGGTTTTGGTGAAATCACACTTTAAGTAGTATTCATGTCTGATGTCTCAAAAAAGAATATCACAAATGAACAAACTGCACTCTTTAAACTTTTCAAAAAAACTTATTTTCCAAATTAACTTACATCTTCAATGCTGGGAGCGGGAACACGCACTGCAAGGCACCTACTGCGGATAGGTGGTATTACTTTTGATGTAGAATTACAACACAGTATTAATCTGCAAGTAGACATATATTTTTCCATAGTTCTACGTAAAGCATGCTGAGCATCTTTGGTAAGTTTGTCAACTTCAGTCAGTAAAACCACTGAAACAAGTATTAAAAAAGCAAAACATCATTAAAATGAATTAACTCAAAAAGAAAGTCTTGGTGTGATTTCCCCTTCTCTACCAAAGGTCAAAAAACAAACCGTTGTAGGAGCAGCAGTTGGCAGAAAGGTATGCTCCACTTTCCATAATGGTTAAGATTATTACTCTAAGATACTACAAAAGCAGGTATTACACTTTTATAAAGGGAAAAGGTTTTCATTATTGAGTTAAGGGTGGCCCGTATTCTAGATTCAGCTTTGTGACCTTTAAGTCATTTAATGTCTGTGGGCCTCAATGTACCCATCTCTAAAATTCAGGGATATGAAGGAGGTAGGAGGCATAGATAGATGATTTCTAAGGTCTGTTCTTGCTTTTAATTTTGTTACAAAAAAGTAATTTTAGTATGCTACAAAAAACAAAACAAAACAAAAAAACACATTTGGATACCAAGGAGAAAAATTATGCAGTAAAATGTATTACTGGCTTAACCCATTATGGTACTTGTCTTCTTCTGTTGTGATAAGAAATTACATCAGGTAATTTAATTCTAGATTTTTCATTTATACCATCATCTATGTGACAGCCATGGTAACATTTATTTCAAAGACGAAAAAAGGCAGTAAATCAAATAAAATTCTTCTTATTAAAATGTATCACATTTATGCTTATCTTGGTAGACAGAAGGCATTTTAATTATTTTAATCTAATCTCCTGTTACTTCTAACACATTGCTACTACTTTATTCTTACCACTAAGATATCTTAAGATTTCTCTGAGATGTCCTTATTTTCTAATATCAGCAAGGCTAATCTAATTTAAAAGGAAAAACGCCAGAATGAGAACAGAAGATACATCAAATATATACACCTCTACTTCCAATAGCAAAAGTAGATTTTTCTCCATGATTTACAACAGCAATAAATACTTCCTTCACCCATTTCCCATAGTTAATAAAAAGCCAACTTAGGTCTGTACGCTTTTTCTACTTTGCAAATGGAAACCTTATTATTGCACATCTTCTTTGATCTTCACAACATTCTACTACATAGAGTAGGCAAAGCAAATATCCATTCCCATTTTACATCAAGTAAATGGCCTCAAGGATAAAGGCACTTGCCCAAGGTCACATATCAGTAATGAAATGTGGGGACTTCTGACTTACGGTCCACTGTTCTTTATCAGTACATGGCACTTCTAACACTACTGACCTCTCAGTGTTCTGAGTAGTTTTTTTAGTGGTATTGATGGATTTGCAAAGCTCCACTCATTTTCTCATCAGTCCATTTAGAACTAAAGGACTTATTTTCCCCAAGTTAACCAGTTTAATAATAGCTAAAATTTATGCAGTGCTTGAAGGTTTACAAAGCACTTTACATATCTCATTCTATGTTACATATTACATCACACACTATCTCATAATACTATTGTTATCACCTCTATTTTAAAGACAAAGAAACAGGCTCAGAGAGTTAAATGGCTTGCTGAGGGTCAGACAGCTAGCAAATCTGCAAGGCAGGATTTAGACTCACATCTTACTGACTCTAAATCTGGCTCTTTAAGCAAACCAACACTTGAATGCATGATTTTAATGAGAGGGCTTAATTTTAAACTAGGCTTCATTTTTCCCAGCCTGATAAGTATTTGAAAAGGAAAGTCTTCATTACTGACCAACAGTAATTTTTTTAAGGCAGTTTCATCTGGGATTTGAATTGAAAAGCTCAACATTTTACTGCAAGGGCAAACTTCTTTTAAAAACTACTAATAAAGAAAATAGGTTTTGCTTTAATTTTAATAATATACAATTAATACAATTACTAATAATATGCTGAGAAGACAAAATAATATCAGAAAGGCTCAATCAACAACCAAACTAACTTAACAGTAATCAGAAAATTTGCTGATATGAGATAAAGGATAGGAGCAATAGCAGTCAAGGTGAACTAGGAGGGTTTGAGAGGAGAATGCAAAGACCAGGAAAGAGTGTAATCACTGGTGAAACTGTGCCAACAGAAGAGCCCATTTTCCTCATGAGCCCTAGGAAGAGGAGCACCATGGCAACATGGTCTTGGGGGTAAAATGGCAGTGTGCTCAGGTCTGGCTGCACTACAAAGCAATCTGCAACTGCTGCAGAAGGATACCGCCCTCATCTCTCCTCTGTATTGATGCTCCAGGATAAAGCCCCATTCACCCTGTCCTAGTTTTGATTCTGCTTAAGAAGTTCCCATGATCAATGACATCATATTTTCATGTGTTGGCATATTACCAATAAACATTTACTGACTTTAGTTAAGAACAACATTTTCTCATATTCTCATAGAAGAGAAAGAGACAAACAACAAAGATGGTCCCAGAGGAGCACACATAGAGTGTGAATGCACATAAGCAAAAGGCAAACAGTAAGCTAAAGCAAAAGTATAGCAAATGTTATTTTAAAACATACATAATGTATGTAATTGAGTTAGAACTTAGCTAGAACATGGAAGAACAGTATTTGTGTTCTTTTTTTTTAACCAATATTATGAAGCAAGAGACTATATGTAGGGTTCTTTGTAAACTTTTAAGGCACATGTTAGCTGCCAGTTATTATTATATTTCTCTTCATTGTTTTTCAACAAGTCTCTAGCAAAAAGCCTAAAATTAACAAAACATAGATAAATGAATGTTTTAATATTATCTTCATTTTTATGTACCTTTAAATTCTCTTTGGGTGCTTGTCTCAAGTTGCTGAGATTGTGCCACTGTTTTCAAGAGTTCCTGAATTACTACCCGGTCACTATTTCCAGCATCACTACAAAAATAAAAACACATAGAAAGGAATGTAACAATTATTTTTAATTGATTAATTTGACAAAATTAGTAAGACTCCCTCTTCAGCCCTTCCTCACATCTAATTCACTTGCATGTCATGGCATCACCTCCCTGACGTCATGGTTCTCTTCAAGAATGAAGGACAGACAATAACAAGACTCCCTACACCAAATGACTCAAAATGATTTGACTTCAGCACACAGCACGATAAACCTCATAACACAGCAACTTATATAATTAGTCCTTAATCAACTAGTCAACAAATCCTTAGATACATTCATTAGACTTAAAGGTAATATGATTTCCCATTAGTTTTACTGAACAAGGTACCAGTAATTGGTTACGTTTTAGATTAACACTGGACTCAAAGTGTCTCGCCCACATCTTTGCTTTAAGTTTATTGAGAAGCTGACGGTGAGGACAACAACTGTAACACTGCAGTCATTATGTGGCCAAGCAGACTATAGCCTCTCTTCAACTTGGTAGATGTAGACCAAGATTCATCACTCAAAACAAAAAAAACCCCTGAGGATGAAGCTCTTAGAACGTAGTGATCCTGGGCTTTGAACAGCAGTTCATCAGGGCTTTCCTTCTTGGTAGGACCTATCAGAACCTGGCCCCTGATGATATAACCTTTGTAGAATATGCTGTGCCCACCATGAGACTTCAGTGGAGTCCAAACAATTTTCTGCTTCAGTATTTGTTAGACTGACATTAGATTACAGCACTGTAGACATCTCCTTGCTTCTACTTTTATACTGAAAAACTTTTCAAATTCAGATACTTAACTATCCTCTCCTTGAAGAAAAAAATAAGAAACAAACCATGCTTAAATCTGAGAGTCATACCCATCATGGAGCAGATAAATGAAGGAATTGGCTAGGTAGAATGGGAAAACTGGACAACATACTAACTACTCCTTAATTACATCCTTTCAATGTGACTTCACTTCAGGCAGTCCTTGACTCACAGATTCTGACTTGTAGCACTCTGACATTCACAGTTGAGGTTTTACAAGGAGAAAGAGGGAAGCAAACAAATCACTGCAGATCACTTCCTAAAAAACTTACAAGTAACATTAAGTCTCCTCAAAGATGCCCTTCTGAATTCCATGACCCCAATGGTGTTTCTCCATCTCATTGTTATTGCAGAAATTGTGAAAGAAACATAAAGTTCAGTGCCTACTCCATTGCCTAATTATGGTAATAAAGGTAATCATTCCTTTTTTTAAAATTTTTAAAAATTTTAAATAGTATTTTTTTTCCAATTACATGTAAAGACAATTTTTAACATTAAAAAAAAATTTACATTCCAAATTTTCTCCCTCCCTCTTTTCTTCCTCCTCCCTAATAGGAAGGTAAGAATTTCAAATAGATTATATATGTGCAATCACGTAAAACGTGAAATAATATTTCCATATTATTCATGTCGTGAAAGAACCACAAAAAAGATAAAGAAAGTGAAAATAGTATGCTTCAATCTGCATTAAGCCTCTATCAGTTCTTTTTCTGGATGTGGATAGCATTTTTCCATTATGAGTCCTTTGGAATTGCTTGGATCATTGTATTGCCGAGAAGAACTAAGTTATTCATACATGATCACCTCACAATGCTGCTATTACTGTGTACAATGTTCTCTTGGTTCTGCTCACTTCACTTTGCATCAGTTCATGTAAGTCTTTCAAGGTTTTTCTGAATTCACCTGCTCATCATTTCTTATAGCACAATAGTATTCCATTACATTTATAGACCACAACTTGTTCAGCTATTCCCCAACTGATGGGCATTCCCTCAATTTCCAATTCTTTGCCACTACAAAAACAGCTGCTATAAATATTTTTATATATGTAAATCTTTCCCCCTTTTTTACGGCAATCCTTCTTTCTTGAAGGCCATGCCAATAAAATGGAAGCGCTGGCAGATCCTATACCAAATTGGAAAGGTTATGGGTTATATGTCTACACTATGTGGACTAGCCTAGTTAAGTCCAGAAACGCTCATCCCTGGGCTGTCAATAAGTTGATGATTTTTTAAAGCCATAATAACTCTTAAAGACTATTAAATTACAAAGAGGTTATTTCCATCAGTGAAAGGATTGCCCTGCAGATAAGACAACAAATCTTTGAATCACTGAAATGATATACATGTAACTGGCTATTTGCCCTGTTTTTAAGGGATTTAAAAAGCTCTATAAATATAGAGAACTAGTTTCTAAAATGGTGCATATGTCACAACCACTGAAATGCAGCAGAAAATGTTAGTATTTCCATTTATATTTATTTCTTATTTTAAAAAGTGAGAAAGTAAGCTTTACTAATATTTAATATGTAGATTAACACTGCTGCCGTCACTCTGTATGTCAAATGGTCACAAGTTGCATATAGCAATTGAGGTATCCTGAGGGAAAAATAAGAATTCAACAATGCAGGGGACTTGACAATTGCACCCACACTCATTCATTTTAAAATATCATAATATATTACAATTTACTTGTGAACACTTAAATGGATTTACAGATATTTTGAGTTTTAACTACATTGTTCCTGACAAAATGGACAAAAGGCTTAAAAGGATTCCTGCTAAGAAAATATGGGTTCAAGAATATACTAATAAAGCGGGTACAATCAAAGAACAACAACACAAAAGACAGAGCTGATATTTCTATATCTATACTAACGGTACACACCAATCAGCCATATTATAAAGAAAAAACAGTGACTAATCAGATCGTATAAAAAGAAACTCAAACTTGAAAAATTATCAAGATTATTTTAGACAAGGATTTACCACCAAATTGCTAAAGATGAACCTCACTCTAAGTATATACTACACCTTGAGACATGGGCTAATAAGAAACTGAAGCCACCACCATTATTAGCAAGACTTTTAAAATATTTTGTTGCTGAAAACAATGTCATCCATAAAACAACAACAAAAAAAAACCCTACAAAACAAAACCAAAAAATCCTCTCATCTGCACACAAATGGAAATAGATTTAGCATGATTAAAAATCTTCCAAATAAAGAGTCTCAATGAGTTCTGAAATGTTTGTTGAAAATATAAAACTGCAATAACTTCTGGTTAATGTGTAAGAAAGAATGAATGACATCAGGGAAGATGGAAATTTACTATGTGAATTTTCAACAACAACAAAATCTTTGTATAATTAATGTACAGATTGAAAATGAATATAATGATTTAGTAAGCGCCAGGCATGATACATTTTATCCATCTGGATCCACCTACCTTCGTGAGGTACCTTTTCCAACAATGACAGTCATTAAAACTAATCATTGAAATAAACTGAGCTTAGAATCACACCTTCAAATCACTGTATAAATGTTAATCCAAGGCTTTCAAAAATGAAGCATATTCAATCATATTCTCTCAATAAAAACAGTATGTTTTAGTGAAAGTAAAAAGGTTTTTTAGACCAAGAAAAAACTGAAAATACTTAATCTTCATCTCAATCTTTTTTTGTTTTGTAACACATATAATATGAATATAGTAATATGTGTATGAAATTTATAAATACATATATATATACATATATATACATACAATGTGTGCACAAAAATTTTTTACTAACAAAGGCATGAGATCAAAAGTTTGGAGACCACTGGTATAAAAAGTAGAGGTACAGCAATGACATCTGATTGAAAATACTGAAGAGACTGCTTTGAGTCATTTCTATAAAAAGATGAGCACCAGACTCATCATCCAGAACATGCCAATGTTTCTACAGGATGATGAGATGCAATTTGCACTGTTCCATTTTCCAGGAACTTAATCTGTTGTAAATTCTAATACGTGCTATATTTTATAAATGTGTACTCAGAAGAGCAGAAGCATTTAGGAGTCACTAAAGTATATTCATGAACAAATAAAAATGATTTTTTGATTAGTCACCACTTTGAACTATTCATACCATTTATTTTTCTTCATCTATAAAAATAATCAAGGTAACTATTTTATTAACTTTGGAAACCTAGATGTATAATTTTTTCTAGGAATTGTTTTTCCCTTTTCTGATGTTACTAATTATTTTAAAAACATTATGTTGATAAGATTTTTTTTTCATACATACACATACGAACCTCAGTCCTAGCATTATACCTTGTACATAACAGGAATTAAATAAATGTATATTGACTATTTTGTTGACTAACCTATATAAAGCATAATTTGGTGTGAAGTAGAGCTATCTTGGATATTATTCAAGGGAAATGAGTTACTAAAACACAAGAACAATTTCATTCTAAGGCAGAGTATTGTTCTCCAAACATGACCATTCCTGTTTCCATGCCATTCCTCTTATTGTCTAGAATGCAAACCTCCTTACTTATCTAAATTCCATACCCAACTCATCTTTCATGTGTGAAGTTACTTTTTCAAATCCAAATATAAAATTATATGCATACACATGAATTTATAAGCTCCATACAAATACTACCATATTCATATTATATATATTACAAAACAAACAAAATATTAATGTCTACTGTTATTTGCATAGTTGCTGTTTGTTTTTCATCCCCAATGTTCCCCAATGACATCACGGGTGATGTCTTAACTCCTTTGTGAACTGGATTTAAGTGAGACAGAGTTGCATAAAGTCATCAGTCTCACACTCTCTCTGAGAGTCATTGAAGTCCAGCGGCAAGACAAAAGTCAGGATGACTAGTGATGGTCCAGGATGCAGTGGATGATCTTGGTGTCCTGACCAAGCTCTAAGCGCTCCATAGCATTTGCTTCAGCCACCTTCATGGCCATTGGAACAAATTGTTCTTATCCACCCATTCCATGGGAGAAAGTCTTCACATGCTTAGAGAAGATAACCCTCTAACTTACTGACAGATATAAGGCCCATCAGTTACCCTCAGCCTGTCTGCTGTGACGATCTACCAAGATGTGGCTGTTGCACATGCTATAACTTCTTGGAACCATAAGGTGAGAGTTGAGTGTCAACTAGACACCAAAGGTGGATAAGCAGCCCTGAAAAGGTTCTACAAACTCTTACACCAGAGGTGTAGTCCTCCCTGAATGCCCCATATGCCCCATTTCTATAGTAATCTAATTTTTGAAGTGCTGACATATATATCATCTCATTTGATACAATAAGCTAGTTAAGTACATATAGAAGGCATTATTATTCTCTGTCTACTAGCTTAAAAGTAAGCAGGAAATCTATGATCTTTGTTTCTACTCTAATGGCTAATGTAGAATTGCACATAGTAGGAGCTTAATAAATGTTTGCTGAATGAATACTCATTTTAAAACCTAAGACAGATATGCAGAGAAGTTAGAGGAACTACCTAAGATCAAAATCAATCAACCAACAAACATTTGTTAAGATCTGGGGATACAAAGACAAAAGTGAAACCTTTCCAGCTATCAACGACTTTACATTCTAATAGTGGAGACTCTGTGTGTGTGTGTGTATGTGTGTCTATGAAATATATGAAATTTATAAAAATTATATGTAAAATATATAAAATGGGAAGGAAGTGCACTAGCTGTTGGGGGAATCAAGAAAGTCTTCGTGTAAAAAACAGGTGGTCCTTGGGTCCTTTCAATAATGGAAGATTGTGTGTCTTCTCAAAGCTAATCATCTCTAGCTCTTTTAATCAATCCTTGTAATATAGTTTTGATCCTTATGACCATCTTGATAAGGGCTGAATGGTTGACTTTTATTCATGTTTCCATCACCGAAACGGGGCAGAGATGGGTTAACTCATCAAGTTAATTATGAGCATCTTGTTGTTAATCATTATTATTTTTATTGTTACTTATTATTATCACTGAGTTAATTATGAATGTCTCAATTTCTCTTCCAATCAGCTCTCTACTCTCATTTTCCTTTCACAAGCTATAGTCATTGCCACTTGCTCACTTGCTAGAGTATCTTTGCTGCTTAGAATATTTTCCCACTTCTCTCTCTTATGACTATTTGAATGTTACCCAACTCTCAGATCTAGCTCCAAACATTCCCTTGCCTCCAGACCACAATAACCTACGTTTTGTAGAACTCCTTTCATACTTCATGTAGTCAGGAATATATAGTTTAGCACCTAAATGTTCACTCCAAAATATCATAAGCTCTGTAATGGCACAAAATGGATCTTAGATTTTTCTATCCTCTTCAGCAGGAATGTTTAACCTGGGGCCTACGAATTTGCCTTTCTTAATATTTTGATAATTTTATTTCAATAGAAGTGGTTTCCTTTGTAATCCTCTATATTTTAATTTATGGATTTAAAAACACTATTATGAGAAAAGGGTCTATAGGCTTCACCAGATTGCCAAGGAGGCCCATGACACACAAAAGGGTTAAGAATCCTTACTCTACAGCACTGAATACCACTCCAAACACATAGCAAATACTCAAATGTTGGTCAATTTATTTCTACTTACATGGAGACTTCTATGCCCTAAAATAGACTGTAGGAGGGCAGTAAAAATGACCTTGTTCACTAATTCAGTTTCAGATTTTATACATTCCCACAAGCCATATTTCAAACTTCAGAGTTCTCTAGTCAGATCTCCAAATACAGATGATTTGATTCAATACAAAAACTATTTCAGAGCTTACATATGACAAATGCTCTACAAAGCACTTTGTCCTGTGCAAGGAAAGCTAAATGTTTGTTTGTATTATGTAATATATCAGTAATATTCATTAAATGACACTAATCTATTCATGGTCACTTTTATTTCAAGGTGCATACATTATATCTTTTTTAAAAATCTACCTTTGAAGGCAGTGAGAGAATGCAGAAATAGTAACTGATTTACAAATCAAATCATTTAGCAAATAATGTTATAAGTGAATGGTCATTTATTAATAACTTACCTTGGGTTGACTTCAAGATGGTAATTACTTGCAATTGTGCTGATTTCAATTTTCTTTTTAGATGGGGTCTGTGTAGAAAAAATGTATATACTAAATATATTTCACAAGTTAATTTTTAGATTGAGGACAAGGAATTATTCCCTAGTGTCACTTTTATGATATAAAAGATATAAAAGGAGTAGCTAACTCAGACCTTTCCAAATATATATTTAATAACATGTACTCTACTAACTTTATAGAGTTGTTATGAGAAAATAAAGGGTCAAGATTAGTGTACTATTACTCCTTTCATATGCCTCAATCAGTTCAATTCAAGTACTCACTTAATAACACGAAAGGTGACGGATGAATGTATAATTTTAAAAGTTTTAGTGGATTTCATTTAACCATGAGCCACTCTACTAGGTTTCAAGGACAACTCCATAAACATCATAACTAAAACTTAGAGATTATTTTGAAATAAACTGCTAACCAGCCTCAATTCATCTTGCATGTGTGAAGTTACTTTTTCAAACCCAAATCTGAAATCCAGGAGGTAGCAAGTTTCCTTCACTAGAGATCTTCAAGAGCTTAGATAACTACTGGTTGGATACGTTATAGAGACGATTCTTTTTCAAGGGGAGGGAATGCCCTCCTCTCCTCACCTGATGTCTTAGGCTGTATAACGTACCTTCAAAGCTTAGCTCAAATGCTATCTTCCATATGAAGTTTTTTCCTGAAGAACTCCCAAAAAGTTTTAGTCACCTTTCCTCTAAAAATATTATTTCGTATATGTGTGTGTGTGAGTGTGTGTGTGTGTGTGTGTGTATATATATATATTATATATTTACACACACACATACATATATATACTTCACTTATGCATGTGTACATGTTTTATCCTCTGACAGAATGTAATAGGGTAGGAAAAGATTTGATTTTGTCTTTTGCCATGGCAAAACACACACACACACAACACACATATACACATACACATACACACACACACAAAATCCATGACTAGAAAGAATGTTTTCATTTCTTGATGACCTAAATAAAATGCTATATATTAATATGAACATCAAGGATATATTCTTCAATGAAGTCTTTCTTGATAATCTCTATTAGTAAGTAATTTTTCTGAACTCTTCAGAGCACTTTGTTCAACTTTTATGAACTTATTTCTCAGTGTTTATTAATTATACCTGTGTATATCTCTCCTACTTGATTATAAGACCCTAATGACAGAAATACATCTTTCAGCTCTAATTTCTATCATTCTGTCTTATAGCCATGATATGCAAAATTATATGATTTAATAATAACTAGTATTTATATAGCACTTTAAGGTTTACAAAGCATTTTATAAATGTTATTTCATTTTATCCTAACCACAACCCTAGGAGGGAAGTAGTATTATAATTCCTAATAATAACTAAGGCAGGTAGAGGTTAAGTGACTTGCCCAGGGTCACAGCTGGTAAGTATCAGTGTCAGCATTTGAACTCAGGTCTTCCTGATGCCAAGTCATCTTTTAACTGCTTCTAAAGTGTATTAGAGTTCAATCTGGATTGGTTTTTTTATACCCCTACTAGGCTGTAAGCTCCCAGAAGGCAGGGGGTGCATCTTATCTGAACTTTTACTTCTCCTTAACAAATGCAGTACCCTGAATAATGTCTACCACAATATCTTGTATATAATAGGTGTTTAACAAATGTTCATTGAGCACCTTTATCAGTTAACATACACACATATTCATTGAAAACAATGACTTAAGCACCTGTGGGAAGATGCTATAACTTTAACTTTTACAAATAAAGAAACTAAGGTTCACATATCTCTCTGATATATCACACCTTATGGACATACACATAAGGGCAGTGAAATAGAAAGAGAGAGGATTTGGAAACAGAGGACTTGGATTCAAATCCTGACTCTGCCACTTACAGTTGAATGACCTTGGGAAAATCCTTTAACCTTTCTAAGCTTCAGTCTCCTTATCTGCAAAATATGAGGGTTGGATGATCTTTGAAGTGCCTTCCAGCTGTAAAACCTGTGACGCTAAGTAAATTTCTATCTACAAATACATAGAGTTTCTCAGAGACAAAAGAGCTTACTGTGATGGTCTGATGTTCAATCCTTAGCTTTTCTACTCCAGCTCCATAGAGTTCCCTCAGGAGACACATAATTCTCGTCTTTTTCCCAGCTCCTGATGGTCCATACACTAAGAGATGAGGGAAGTCCCCACACTGTACCTGGAAAAAGCAAAGAAATAATGATTTTGACATAGTTCCTTGTGGGAAAAGTTATACATTTGTTCCCTGTAAAGTTGATTTTCAATTGATATAGAGAATTTTTTAATAATAAATCATTAGAAGATGAATGTGAAACCTCAGTCTAATCCTAAGAATCATGGAATCTTGAGTTGGAAGGGACTTCATAAAATCTGTACTTCCAATTATACCCCCACAGAAGGTTCTTCTACCTACAAGATCCCCAATACATATGTAACCAAGCTCTAATGGAAGATCTGTGATATGGTAGTCATTAACTCCTGTAGTATCTAGTTCCATGAAGTTTTTTCCTTATATTCCAATAGATTTGGATATCACAACCTGGCCATGCCTGTTCATTCTCTATGGCTCTTCATTCACATCTTCCCTTAAGTTCACCAGAGGGGCTCTACCTACCATGTTACAGGGTTTTACTTTCTTCTGAGAACATGAGCATGCCAGTGGAGCACTTGACCAACTAACTGTTCACTTATCAACTCTCACCTTCACCGCATGCCTATCCCATCTTCAATTCCTATTGTACCTTTCCCTGATCCTGATCCTTTATCCAGGAAATTCTTCTTCAAAGTTCCTTATTTGGCATATATTATAGCCAGTCTACAACCATCACACACCTGCCTCTGAATTGTCCCTCTACGTGATATTCACATCAGACAGTTGTGTTCTTTGTCTGAAAGGTGTATAACAACATTGGGAGAATACTAGTATTAAAAAAGATGGGCCTTTGTCTATGGGAGAAACACGGAGTCATTAGAGTTTTGCAATTTCAATACAGCCTGCTCTGCTCCTGTTTAATTTTGAGCCCAACTCATTGTCCATTTTCACTGCCTGTTCCAGATACACATATACACATATGTATTCACAAATGCACACATGCATGAACGTGCTCACACTCCATGTTCATTTTTCTGGCTGTCATATCATATTGCTGAATAATATAGAGGTTGCAGTGTGTATAATGTGTGCACACAAATCTACGCATATATATAAGTGTATACACACACACACACACACACACACACACACACACACAAATGTAGACACGTATACATGTATCCACACATACTGATGGACAAATTCTACAGAATATCCAACTTTGTGCCATAATATGAACAACAAAAATCTTCATTCATTTGTTTTTCCAATGGGGAGAGAGACTTTTCCAAGCAGTAATTCCATGGCCTCATGAAATTGACTGAAAGATGCAACACATAATCCAGTGTGCTTGTTTGTTGAATATAAAATAAGCATTTGAATACATCAAAACGCCATCCTAAAGACTTTCAAGAAGGTATTTTGCACCCATATATTAAGCCATTCAAGATTCCTTGAAAGATACAACACAGATAACCTTATTCAATCATCCTCTAATCATAAACATCAAGCAAGGCATAAAATAGAGACAGATATATGCTCTCCAAAGGTATTCACTAATATAATGGAAGAAATCTAGCAAAGAATCCAAGTCAAAGAAGGATTTCCTAGGGACAGTCATTTCCTTCTGATTATTCTGTTTGCAGATGACAGTGTGTTGGTTCCATCAAACCCCAAAATACTGCAGGACCTTGTAGAAGAAACCTGTAACCCCTCAAAAGGGGTTTCCTTATAGAGAATCAAAATCTCTGCAATTCTATCCCCCCCCCCCACTTCCTGGTTCTGCCTTCCGAGTCAAGCAACACAATTCAAAACCACTTTCCACATAATAGCCTTCAATGCTTGAAGACACACCCTAAATCTTCTTTTTTTTTTTACCTCTAGGCTAACTGTCCAGGATTCTTTCAACTTGGGAATCTTCATATGGCATTAGTCTTTTCACTATCCTGGTCAACCTCCTCTGCTCCTCAAATCACCAATTTCCTTCCTAAAACTGAGCGGCAGAGAACTGAATACAATGACGCAGATGCAGATTTAGACTTATCAGAGTACCTTCTAATTATTCTGAAAATAGACACTATACTGATATTAATTCATTTTAAGATCAAATTAACTTTTTCTGGCTATTATGTGACATTTTTGAATTATACAGAAGTTGTAATCCATTAAAATTCCCAGATATTTTTTAGATGACCTTTCTTTCTATTCTATACCTACTTTCTCACAATTAAAAAAAAGACAATTATTAAAGTAGAATGGAAGAAACATTTATTAACTGCCTACTGTGTGTCAAGTACTGTGCTAACCACTTCTAGAAATATCATTTCATTTGATCCTCACAACAACCCAGTAAGGTAAGTGCTTTTATCCCCACAGCTAGGAAATATCTGAGGCACAATCTGAACTCAGTTCTTCCTGACTCCAGGCCTAGTACTTGATCCACTGAGCCAACTGGCTCCCTAAAAGAGAGGGAAAGGATGAAATGCTCCAACTAAAAGTCAAAAAAAAAAAAGGCAAAATCAGCTAATCCCATTGCAGTATCTGTCATTACCCACAGTGCCGGTGTGACCTTGGAGAGGAGATATTATGCTCAAGGACATCCCACATACTAATTTTTTATAAAATTAGAATTGGTGCATACTTTGGAGGTGGTTAATTCATTTTGAGAGGTATCATGGTTTAGTGAAAAGAACAATAAAGTGAAGACAGGGCTATATGTAGGTTCATCTCTACCATTAACTATGTGCAGTGTGACCTTATATAAGTCACTTAATCTTTTTAGGTCTCAGGTTCCTCATTTTGCAAAATGAGGATAGGATGAATTATTTCCAGTATTCTTTCCTAATCTAACTTGATGATTTAAGTCAAGCCCATAATTTTATACATAATGGTTATATAGCATTTTAAAGTACATAAAGCACTTTAAATATATTATCTCATTTGAGAGATGAAATGGCTTTTCCTATTCTATAACTGATGCTTTTTTGCACTGCAATATGCTACCTGCCGGAGGCAACACATGAAGACTTAATTAAAAATAAGACCAAAGTAACTATAAATTGCCTCTGTGACCATTCTTGAAATCAGGCAACAAAAGTCATATTTATAAAATTTTTATAGTAACATTGTTAATCAACACCCAGATTCAACTCTGAAAATAGTAAGCAAAATACACTGAACTGCGATTTGTAGGCATCATTTCAATGTTTAAGTTTTGGTAAATTAGAACAGTGAGAACAATGAATTCCCTGAAGTGGTCACATTATTTGAATTCACACTATTCCAAGTAATAATTATATGTAAAATATGGTACCAGATTTTGGTTCCAGCCCAACAGAAATACACAATGAAAAAAATTTTTAAATAAGTTTTTTATCTGCTTACTAACATAAAAGCAAAGGATAAGAAAAATTTATTTTTAATTCAAGTGTGTTACAAATAGAGTAGTTACAAAAAGTAAAATTTTCAAAACTAAAAAAAATTTAATATCATAACCTAAATATAAGCCTACTCCAATGATATAACAACACATCAGTATTGTGATTTTAAATATTTTAGCCACATAGACTAAATTGCCTCTTCTTTCTTTAAATTTTCACATACACACTGGTACGAACAGATAGAGCTTTATCCACATCTCAAATATGCATGCTCACATTCCCATATAAAGAACCAAGTAGTTGAATGGCCTGGGGTCTTTTCTAAAATTAGAAATGCTTTAAATGTGATATTGTTATCTTTTCGATATTTTCCAAAAACTGCACTAACTTAGAAATCAACTTTGAAAACAGCATGTCACCCATGCTTTCTTATCTAACTACCAAAGAACTGAAAGTGATCACAAGGATTTCAAGGTCAATAAGCAAGTATTGGTTTTGATTTAAAATCCTCTTCAGCATTTCCTCCCAATAGATGTTATATTAGGTGATCCTTAGATATTCTAAATCAAGGTTGAGGTTTTTTTTTCTTTCTTTCTTAGAAACAAATTTTGGAAGGCATTCTTTTCTAGAGTAACTTTGTTTCATCAAAATCAAAACTTTGTTAATCAGTGTTGTATCCACTTTTGAGTATTTTCTTCAAAACATCAGGTTATTTAGCTACTGTGTTTCCATTTTCTTCCACGGCCTTACATAAACTTGAAGCTTTTATCTGAACGTCTGCTCTAAAAGGAATGCATTTCTGACTGCAATCTTCAATCCATATAACAAAAAGACATTTCCATCATCTTAATACATATATTCCCTGTGGTTGTTTGAAAATCAGAAAAAGCTGATGCATCTTTGTCTCCTTTTATTTTGACTTCCTATTTTATGATATTCTGTACCATAAATTCAGAAATATCAACATCTTGTCCTATTATGGTCATGCTTTTTCAAATACATAAAATTTTTGTTTTAATACTAATAAAAAGCTTCTCTTCTTTTTTGCACTGGCAATGTTTCCATCTGAAGTTTTCTTCCTTTTGTTGCTTTTGTTAAGAGCTATTTTTTTTAAATTAACACAACTGTTGATAATATGGTGCATATCACATATATATGCTACAAAAAGGTATGTTATAGGTTGTAGTGGCATGTTAAAACCCTCAATTAGCTTGCACGAATAGCATTAATTGAATTTTGGCTAACATTAAACACAACCTGGTATCATCTTATAATTCACACTAAATCAAATTTCATATTATTTGAACTTGCTTTAATAATAATCTAGCCATATTAAAAATCAACCCCATTAGTTATAGTCACTATGTTGTATAATATTGTTCAGATATGAATAAATTATGCTAGTTTCTTCATGCAATTAGGCTTTCTAAAAAGTTCTTTTTATGTAAGATTTTTCTTTTAAGATGCTATTGAAGAGGTCTAGGACTTTTGGGGTGCTTTTGGAACCCCAAGATCGAGGTACCAGGCCCTGCCTCAAAGAATTCAACTCAAATCTTCTTCAGCCAGAGGAAAAGTTTATTAGTGATAAACACCTAGAGCCAGGTGATGACCTTAAGGACAAGTGGGCATGAGGTTCTCAGCCCCAAATGAGGGCCAGGGTAGATCTTAGATACTTTGGGTGACCAGGGAAGGGTCTGGGAAAATGGTCTGGGTGTGAATCCCCAGAGATTTGAATGCCTAAAAGACTGAATAGACAATGGGAATAGATAAGAAGGAACAGAAAGGCATCTGAATGAGATTAAAAGGTAGGCTAAGGCTTTCAAAGGAAGATGAGGGCCTGGGGCCTGTAGAAAAGGGGAGCCAGATTCTCTTTGGGGCAAGGGGCCAAGACCTCGGCTTGATACTTGAATATTCTCAAAAGAGCAAAACTCAACCAAAATTGGAAGGAACCTCAGAAGCCACTTAGTCTACTCATTAGTGAAAAACGGTGCCATCATAATATGCATGACAACTGGTTATGGCACCTTTGAAAACCTTTAATGAGAGAAAACTCACTAACTCCAGACCAGTCAGCTAATTGTTATTAGGTCTTCCTTACATTAAGCCAAATCTGCCTCTGCAACTTACCACTCTGGCTCCTACTTACACCTTCTGGAGCCAAGCAGAACAAGTCTAGTTCTTCTTTACCATAACAGCTTTTTAAATACTTAAAGACAACTATCATATACCTCCTACCTCTTCTCCTTCCCCTAGGCTAAAACATCTCTATTTCATTCAGATTCATATGGGATGATTATGAGGCCTTTCACCATCTTGGTTTCCCTGCTCCAGAAAGGTTGTAGTTAATTAATGCCCTTCTTAAAATGTGGCACCCAAAATTAACACAATATCCCAGATACGGTCTGAGGAAGATAGGTATATATCGCTTCCATGGTCTGGGACACTACACCTCTCATAATGCAGCTTAAGAGTACACTGGATGGGGGGCTGCTAGGTGGCACAGTGGATAGAGCATTGGCCCTGCATTCAGGTAGACTTGAGTTCAAATCCAGCCTCAGACACATAAGACTTACTAGCTGTGTGACCCTGGACAAGTCACTAGCAAAAAAAAAAAAAAGAGTGTATTGGATGATTTGGCTTCCATATCACACAAATGACTGATACTAAGGAAGATGGCAGTGAATCTTCTTTATTCTCACAATGATTCCAGAGTCTCAGAAATCATGCATAAGGCCCTCATGGCCTGAGACCACCCCACCCCCACCCCCGGCCCCGCCCCCGCCCCCATGTCAATCCCTGCCATACACTTCTCTATCCTGGCTTCCTTGTGAGAAAGATACATCTTCTCTGGGATGTTCCCTTAAAGGCACTATCTACCAAAAAGAATCAAACAGGATACAGGAAATAGACCCAACATGCTTCCAGAACCCTAACAACACAGGGCCAAGATCACCACCAAAGCCATTCATAGCTTCCCACTGGGCCTCTTATGGTCCCCATCAGCTCCTAAGTCCATTTTAAACTTTCCTATTGTTATCTGAACTTCAGCCTGGGTCTACTCTTACCTTTGGAGATATATGAGTTTTGTAAACAGCCAAAATTACTCAGAGCCAAGTCAAGTAGGTAAAGTGGCTGAATGAATCACTGAATATTAGTATTTGGGATCAAATCCAAGATGTAACTATAAAACAACAATGAATTTTCTTGTATGGCTCATAAGCTGGCTCTGAAGTAAATTATAAAAGAGAAGTTCTGAAAATGTCTTAAGCAACAGCAGCATTTTTTTAAATAAAAATGTAACCACTAGCTTACCACCTCAAAGAAACATTCCTTAATCTTTTTCGTGTCATGGACCCTTTTGGCAGACTATTGCAATTTATAACCCTCTTCTTAGAATAATGTTTTTAAATGAATAAAATAACATACATAGAATTACAAAGTAAACCAATTACATTAAAAGTTATCAAAATATTACCAAAAAAAGTTCACAAAACCTAAGATAAGAACCCCTAATCAGATTCATAAGTTTGGGCTCCTGGTGCAATGTGACTCCTGCTTAGTTAACAGAATAATACACTACATTCAAAAAGAAGAGATTAGGTGGGAGAGGCATGGGAACAACTGAAAATTAAGAGGCTACAGAAACTTAAGTTACCTAGATCAAAAAAGTGTTCACCTAGTAGCAATCTTTGGATTTGATGTGAGACAAAAGTATAGTGATGATCATTTGGGTGCAAATCAAAGATCAATATAATGGTGGATGTAAACTACAGGCTGCCAGGACATCTGAAAGAAATGGATGATAAATTCACAACATAGATCACAATGCTGACAGCGGAGGTAAGATATACACCTGCAATGGGAGACATCATCTATTCACATATTTCCTGGAGGTTGCTTTCTACTAAAAGCAGAACAGCCGAAAAATTACTGATCTGTTTTGCCGAAAATTTTTTTTTTAGAAACAATGGAGAAAACAATAACAGATACTGTTATTCTGGACTTAATTCTGACAAATAAGAAAGAAATCATTGATAACACTAAGAAGATAGCAATCTTAGAAGGAAGTAGTCAAACCATCTTGGAGTTTGTGACAGATTAGGCCAGGAGTTTTGAGAATAACCTGGCTTGTATACCAGCCAGTGCAGAAGAGTGATTTCAAATAGTTTAGAGATAAGATGTAGGACTTCACAGCCCCAGACAGGGCAATCATCTTTAGAGGGATGAAAATCTCTCAAGATTAAAATCCTAAGGATGCAAAAAAAAAACAAATAAAATACAACCCAGCTCCCAACCAAGAGTTCCTTTTCCTTCTTCCCCATAGATTTTTTTCATATAGTTGTCAAAATAACCTTCCTAAAATAAAGCTATGTCATTTCCCTGTTCAAAATTCTCCAGTGACTGTCAACAGAGTTAAGTTCAAACTCATCAGTCTGGTATCCAAGGCACTTTCGTAAGATGGCCTCAATCTATTTTTCAGCTTTCTCTTCAGGTTTTCTCATATAATTTATACTTTAGTCAAACTGGACAATTTGTCTCTCTCCTCACAACTGGCTAGACAAAAAAGAACATCTCAGCTTTCTGCTATCCTACTTCTGAACTTTGGAACAGTGAAAAGTGTACTGGTCTTGGGAATGAGGAGACTCCAGTATGAATTTCACCTAAGATGTTTGTTAGTTGTGATCATGGGGAAGTCACTTAATCTTTCAAGGCCTTAGTTTCCTCTTCTATAGATCATGGATCTGGGGCTGGACCTGTAATGTCACTGGTATAGGGAATTCTCCAATGAGAACACTCCAATAATTCAGGTCAGTACTTTATCTCTAATTTATATTCTTACAGTAGCTGAGACCATTGAAATGTTAAGTGACTTACACAGATTAAGACAGCCAGAAATTCTTGGCTTCTAAGGAAGCTAGGTGGTACAGTGAGTGGACAGAGCTAGGGACCTGGTGTCTGGAATACCTGGGTTCATCAAATACAGTTTTAAAACACCTACTCGCTGAGAGATTTTATTCATTTAACCTTAACCTATGTCTTCCTTAGTTTCTTCATTTGTAAAATGGGAATAATAGCACCTATCTCCCAGGTTTGTTGAAAGGATAAAATGAATAATATTTGTAAAGCATTTCACAAAACTGCTCTATAAATACTGTTATTAGCTACTATCCTCTATTCCACATTGCTTCTCTGCCTTATTTTGTAGTATCAAGATAATAATACTTGCACTACCTACTGCACGGGGATGCTACCAGAAAAGCTCTGAACAAAACCTAAAGTGCTACATATGAATTAACATTATTCTGTTTGTGTTCTGTCACCCTCCTTCCATCTCTATTTATCAAAGTATTGCCCAACTTAAATGCCACATGATATATGCTTAACACATTCACTGATCCCCTGCAACCAGAACTGTTCTCATCTTCCCCTGGAAAACCATAACATTTCCCCCCCCATTTTTCTTATGGCATTTATCACCTTCTTCCTTGTATTACCTATGTGAATACATGTATCCCCAGTAAACCCCATCCCAACCCCCTTCCCCATTTTTCATGTTACTATGGTCAATGTATATACTCAGTGTTTCACTTGTACCATTTATTTCCTAGTAACTGACACCCTGAATTCTTTTGCTAAGCTGCCTTTGAGAAACCATCTAATTTTTGTCCTTCAGCTTTCCTACCCACAAAGTAGAATGGTTTTTTTTTTTTGGTGAAAGCAAAGTCCTGGGTTTAAGTTGGGGGGGATCACGTCTCAAAAAGAAAATTTTTTTTAGGCAAGAAACTAGGCAAGGCAAGGGAAAAAAAAACACTACCTTCCATCTATTCTATACTTACTTTGTTTATCTCTGTGTACATGTTAATATCCCCTCTGAAGGAAGACACTTTTGTTATTTTTTATTACGGTTGTTTTTTCTTCGCATCCTCAGCGCTTAGCACAGGGTCAGGCACATAGTAAGAGACTAATAAATGCCTGTTGATCCACTAATCAATCTAACCGGTAAGCTGAAGTGGGGTGTGGGGGGCGGCGTAACAGGTTAGGTCTTTGCCCTTCTGGTCTGCGGGGGGGGGGGGGAGAAGTTCACGGACTGTCACAATTGGCCCCGAGGACCCGGCCCTTTTCCCACGGGCAGGACTAGGGGCCCCACGGACGACCTCCCCTCTCATCCTGTCCCCGCCCCATCGCCCTCCCTAACCCCCAGCGTATCTCCCAGATCGGGGAGTGAAACTGGGGGAAGGGGGTCTGGGTCCTCCCTCCCGCCATGGCCGAGCTCTTCCTCGCCGGCCCCCGCCGGCAGACCAGCAGGCCGCTCACCAGGTTCCGCAGCTGGGCCGCCTGCTCTTTGTGATAATCCAGCCGTCCCAGGGAGGTGGGCCGGTACTTGTCCACCCAGAGGCTCATGACGACCCAGCTTCACCTCCTCTGGAAGCTTGAAAACCCCGCGCCCGCGCGCTTTTCCCGCGACCTCCAAATCGGCTGCGTCACTGCCGGCTCCGCCCAGTGAAAGCTGATTGGATGAAGGAGCCCCGCCTCAAGGTGATTAACTTGAGGTGTAATGAGCAACCTGACCAATGAGCACCCCCAAACGCAAGGCTCGGCTGGGTATTCTCGCGACAAACAGCGTAAATCGCAGTCATTGTACCATCTACGCTCTGCTCTCCTAGCTGCTTGGAGCAACTAAAGGGAGTGAGTGAGAGGAAAGCCATCCAATCAGAAGCAACTCCAGTTCTACGCTAGCCAATAAGCCCCGCCTAATCCATTTCCTCTTCTCCCTTTTTTCTCCGCCTACTCGGAAGGGCCCCTGGCTAAGAGCTCAAAGGAATATATTTTCATTGCTGAAACCTCTCAAGATATTTTGGTGTTTACTGTCTAGATTTCTTTTTTAAGGACCATGCCTTAAACACATATCACTCTGGCTCTCATTGATTGGCCAACAGTACGGTCAAGGCCAAGCCCCACTTGGTCATGTTTGGGTTCTGACGGCTCAAAGGGAATGTAAATAGTGATTGTTTCTGTTTTGCCAGAAACTCTGAGGGTCTTCCCCACCCAGATTGATTTTTTCTTTTGACTAGGTAAAAGAGGCCATTTTGTGCCTCATTTCTTACCTAGTCTTAATCACTGAATGGGAGTTGTTTGAGACAAACCAAGACCTAGGAAAGACCTTAGCTTAAAAAGGCCAAAGCCTCCCACTGCATCCAGGGCCATCTCCAGTTGTCCTGATCTGTGTCTTGCCACTGGACCCAAATGGCTCTGGAGGAGAGAGTGAGGCTGGTGACTTGGCATAGCCCTGCCTCACTTTAATCCAGTTCACTTGCAAATCATACCAAATCTTTGGTAGTCTTTGGAGACGAAAGGACAAACAACTATGTGCATGGGTAAACTCTTACAGCTTTGTCCTCCCACCTAGGGGCTGGCTCTTTGTGCAGAGCAGAGAGGGCCAGGGCAGGAGTCTTTAGATGTAGGTTGGAATCTCTCTTTTGCCATTTAATATCAATGTGACTTTGGTAGTGGCAGCACAACTTCTCTGGCCCAGGTTTGTAAAATAAGGGAGATTGGGAGCAGATGACCTCAACTCTAAATCTTTGATCTTATGAATTAAGAGATCATATGATCATAGGATAATAGATTTAGGGCTGCATAAGGGACCTTCAAAATCATTCATAATATTAGGTATAAAATTTTGGGATTTGAAATGTATTAACTGGATAAGTAGTTTGGTTTTTGTTTTTTTGTTTTGTTTTTACATCAAAAGCAACCAGCATACCTGTGTACAGTCATCTGATAACATGCAAACAACAGCATCTGTCACTGATTTTTTGCTTTCTTCCCAAAATAGAGACATTCCTACATCTCCACACAGATCTGAGTAGACCTAGGTATTTCTAGGACCAGAGGCACAAATATTTTCCTTTGCCTTGTGGGCAAATCAACAATAACTTAATTCTTCTGTAAAGAGAAAATGAGTTGTCAAGCACAGTTGATTTTCGCACAATGAACCAGATTCACTAGTTTTCTGGGGCTCAAATGATATGCCAGAGAAAATTGTTGACAGTTGTAACATGTTGTGCCCACTTATAGACAGCCCAAGTGAAATCAAGGCATAATTTTGCAAAATAAGGCGTTTCCTGTGTTTCGTGTTTAGTAAAAGATTTGTTAAAGGCAAACTGTTTACCTTTTTTTTTCCTCTTTAGTCTAAGTAACATTCATTATTTACCAAACTACTATTTAGATACTTAGCTTCTTACTATTCCTGTAGTTTGTTCATTTAAAGCTGTAACTATTTAGGCATCTTAATAATATCAAACTAGTGTTATTATTCCAGGAAGGAATAATACAAGCACCCCTGCATGTATCATATAAATATACTGAATATTAACAGAATATTATTAATACAAGAAGTAATCAGTCTCAGTATGTACCTTTAGGCTACGTAATTGTGTCTTTTCAAGTGACAATCACACGTCTACCTTTTTACTACTCCCTAAAATATTAAGTAGGTCAGGTTTTTTTTTTAACATTAGAAATTGAAGGCAAGCCTATTAGTAGCTTCACACTCTGCAATTTCCTACTGCTGTTATCTGCTGTCCTAAGGTCCACACCTTATCTTGACAGCCCACTTCCCACCCCCAAACATACATGTATATATAATATACATATTATATATGCAATATACATATGCATTTCAGGATACAAACTATGATTTCATCCTCTCACATAGGCAGATTTTTAAAAATCATTTATTAAATGTCTATATACCAAGTACTATTCTAGCAACTAAGTACATTAATACAAAAGCAAAACAGTCTCTGCTCTCAAATAGCTTACATTCTATTTGAGATTTATGTACGTATATGTATAACATGCACATATATGGGTATATATAAAATAAACATAAGGTGATTTAGCCAAGGTTAGAGTATGTCCTTGCACATAGCATTACAGTAGGTGTGGAAGCAGTTATATGGAAAAAATAAAAGGCATATGCACTTGCCTACATGTCCTCAGCCACACATTCCAGCAATGTATGGCTGTATATACATGGTGTTATGAAAGCTGGTATTTCCCAAATAACAGCAGCAGAAACACTATTTCTCTCTGCATAGATAAGTTACCTAAATGCAGCTCCAACATAGGTGTGAGATGGAGGCATTTCTAAAAACCGTTGTTCCATTTGCTTCCTTCTTATATGTGCTGCCCTGCCTTCCTTACTATGGGATCTCTTATCCATAGCCTCCCCCCAAGATCGGAGTACAGGATAGCGTCAATCAAGAGCTATAGCCCAAAGTACTCCATAGTGTTGGATGGAGTCCTGGACCTGCCACAGTGTGGAAGTCCCAGTGGGAAAGTATCAGTTGGTAAGAACCAGAAGCAAGAGGTAGGAAAAAAGGACAGGAGGATAAATGACCACAGTAAGCAGGAAATACCAAAGCAAATGAGATTCTGAGGGACAAAGTGAGTCCAAATACCAGAAAAAAAAAAGTTGGGCAGTACAGCATACACAGGATCCTAAGGGATAGGCAGGAAATAAGCTCTGAGGCCAAGCTAATCTTCCTCCAAGCCCTACTCCCCAAACAGCAAATAGAGCCTGAGCAGAGTTCTTTGACAATACCAAGCACTTTCTTTTGTGTAAACCTGCTCTGAGGCTAACTAATCCTACCCTCCATGTTTCTCTGAAGGCACTTCAGGTCTGAATCACAGCTGCTTCTAATAGCTCCCATATATCAAAGAGCTCTGTGTAAGTGGCAGCAGAGACTGTGCTAACACAAGGTAAGTAATTTTTAAAAATCTAATATCCTACATAGTCGATATTCCTAAAAACAAACTTGCTGATACTCTAAGGAAACAAATGAAAAATGGGAGAATCAGCAGTTTTGAAATTTTGAAAATTCTTAAATTACCTTAAGAGTTGAGGAAGAAGAAAAGGAAAATGTGTTATCTTATGGCTTTTGATGACAAAGAAATGATGGATAAGAAAGCCCCATTACCCACTAGATAAGTAGTCAAAGAATATGAAATATTTCTCAAAAGACCTGAAAGCTATTAACAGCCATATGAAAAATTGCTCAAAATCATGAATAAGAGAAATGTAAATCAAAACAACACTGAGGTTTCACTTCTCACCCAGCAAATTGGCAAAGATAACAATAGATAGAAGTACTTAATGTTGAAGGGGCTACAGAAAGACACACTGATACACTGTTGGTAGAGCTATGAATTCATCCAGCCATTCTGAAAAATTGGATCCAAGATTTTATCGGTATAGAGAGCTCCTGGGGAGGAACTTTCTCTACCACTGAAGACTGCTACCTTCTCTACAATTGATCTTTGTTTCTAGTAGGAAGGAAGGAAGGAGAGAGAAAGAGAGAGAAAAAGAGAAATAGAAGACCAGTTTATCTTTTCTAAATTTCTGCCTTCCACTAAAATAAGTACTTTATTTTGAGGAAAAGATGAAAACCTGTCTATAAATGCAGATCATACACATTTCTAAATATATTACATCCTACTAGGAAGTACCAATATCAATAATTATGTTATTGATATTATTAATAATAATAGGATTTATAAAGCATTTTAAGATTTGCAAAGCTCTTTCCAAATGTAATCTCATCTGATCTTCACAACAATCCTGGGAGGTAGGTGCTATTATTATCCCCATTTTCCAGATGAGTAAAGTGAGCCAGGCAGAGATTAAGGGACTAGTCCAGGGTCACAAAGCTATTAAGTGTCTGAGAAATTATTTGAACTCAGCTTTTCCTGATTCCAAATCTAGCTCTCCATCCACCACACTACATAACTATAATACAATGGTATGTTGAAAGTAACCTCTGACTGATGGTGATGGTGATGATGATGATGATGATGATGATGATGATGATGATGATGATTAGCATTTATAGTGCATTAAGATGTACAAAGTTCTTTACCAATATTGTCTCATTTTAACCTCATAATCACTCTGGAAGCTGATATCCTCATTTTACAACTGAGGAAACTGACATTAAGCCACTTACCCAGGTTCACACAAAAAGTTAACAACCATTTATTTACTAAGCACTTAACTATGTACCAAGTATTATGCACTGGGAATAGAAAGAAAGGCCAAAAAAAAATTCTTGCTTTCATAGAGTTCACAATCTAAGGAAGGAGACTACATGAAAACAACAAGAAAAAACAATAAATTAGAGACCATCAATAGAGAGAAAAGATTAGAATTAAGGGAGATTGGGAAAGGCTTCTCCAAGGAGGTGGGATTTTCTTTTTTTTTTTCTTTTTTTTCTTTTTTTTCTTTTTTTTCCATATGCTTTTGAGTTGAAAATTTTTTCTCCCTTTTTCTCCCCCCCCCACCCTCCCCAAGACAGCACACAATCTGACATAGGCTTTACATTTACATGCCCATTAAACATATTTTCACATTAGTGAAGTTGTAAGTAAAAATTAAAACAATAGGAGGAACCATCAGAAAGATGAAACAAAATTCAACAGGTAAAATAAGTGAGAGCGATTCGACTTCCATAGTTCTTTCTTTGGATGTGGACAGCATTTTCCATCCCGAGGCCTCTGGAGATGTCTTAGATCCTCGTAATGCTGAGAAGGGTTCAGTTTAACATTCTTAGTCATTGCATAACGTGGCTGCTATTGTATACAAAGTCCTCTGGTTCTGCTCACTTCACTCATCAGACCATATAAGTCTTCCAGTTTTTCTGAAGTCAGCCTGTTCATCATTTCTTATAGAACAATAGTATTCCATTA